AACTACATGTGCCAAGCATTCTCCAGAACATCACACTGATGTTAGTACTGGGTTATAAGAATTACTTTAATCAGGAACACAGAGAAGAGTCTTCCTGCAATGCTTTTCATGGTGGGCTACTGTATGTGTTACCAAACTGGGAGAAAGCAGCTGCTTGTAGCTCTGATCAAGATCTTGCTTTACTTTTCAATATAAGTTTTTTACTTGTCTTGTACTATATCCTTTGGAATTCAAGGAATTAGTTGTAGGGAACGCTTAGATGGATTGGTGTGTGGTATAAAAATCTGCTGGTTTGCAGAGTACAAAGTGGGATAAAATAAGAAGTGATAAAAATTAGTGGAGGCCAGAATGATAGTAGCTGTGGAAGAAGCTAGGGACATTTGTACTTCTTCATCAAAATACCAGTTGGTCATAAGTTACAACAAAAGCAGATGCTTCAGGAAAGTTTCAACAGCTGTTTATCTGCAAGAAGCAACACTTTCCAACTTGCTGCTGTTAAAGAAAAATTAGAGGTGAGTGTTAAATGAAGACAGAGTAAAGGGAAAGAAAGGGGAGGTTTGTAGTCTGATTGTTAGCCACAAAACCACGTTTTATGATACCTGGAGGGCCAGCTGATAAGTGAGGGTGTGTCCCCTTCTGAATCTTTCTGAAGAAACCATTCAGGTTTTGCTTTCCCTGCACTACTACAGAAAACAGAACTTCAGGTAATTTTTGAGATCTCAACACATGCTCCCGTTGTTTCTCCCAATCTTCCCTCCCCACCACTTTTTTTGTTTTCTAATTACTCATTACAGAGGACTATTCACGAAAATAAAAACCCAGCACATTAGTCAAATTGAAAGGTGATAAACTGTGAAACAAACTATCATATTAATTCCACAAACATCTAAAAGGTGTTCTGAATGTTAAATATTCTGCAAAGGTAACTTTACTGAGTGTTCATTGTCCATAATTTGAGAAGTTAAAGCAACTACACAATCTTATTTTTGTCATTTGCCATTGCAGGTCAGTTTGAAGAGTTTATGAAAGGACACCTGGAAAAGTTGCTAAAATTATTCCTTTAATTTGTGGTTTAAAGTGGCAAAGATTTGGACTTGGTTGAGTCCAAAAGGAAGTGGTAATAAGAATTTAATGAAGTTAGAAGTTCAGGTGGCTATATCATACTTCCTAAGAAATTATCAAGTGCAGCTGGAAACCCTCTCTCCTCTTGGTAGTCCTGTATCACAAAAGCTTCAGAAATGCAAACCCAGTTAGCTCAAGTAAAACATGCTATGTCTCTGGGTGACAGGGAAAAGGAAAAGCTTAGAAAACAAAGTAACCCCCAACTTGATCTTGTCTTGATTCTGTTTTCATTTTGGAGCTGAAAGCATAAAAAGAAACTAGAGCACTGCAAACTTTTAAAAGCCCTACAGGAAAGGGTATCTGCAGGCTACCTAGACTACCTATGTACCGTTTCTCAAATATTTTCCTAATACTCACCTTCATCTACAGTCCCTCAGTAACAGTAGACCACATCAAATACTTTTAACTTTGCAAGCACAGACTGACCGGTCAGACTAACATTTACAAACTCACTCCTTGGAGGTGACAAGCAGCCAGGCTGCTTTCCACTACCTATAGCTACAGCTGAAAGAATTCCTCACATTGCAGTAGAGGCATCTACTTAAATTTTTCTTAGCTGGTCTTCTAATAAAAATAGTTGAAATGGGTCAAATCAACGACTGTTCTTAAGATAATAGTGCATTTACTGTAAATAAGTTCACATTTGAGAACTCACCTACAGTAGTCCCCTTATCCAAATAAGCTTAGAAAAAAGTCAAACATCAACTGTTAAAACACCTTTTGTTTTTCCAAATGTTTTTTAGTTCCTAAAAGAACTGACCAAACAGGAGGCAAAAAGCCTTTCACAGGAGCTGACCAGGTAGACAGAAATGCTTTGAAGCAAGCAAACTTCCTTCTTGTCTCTTAATGTGTACTTTGGCACACCTTTACAGTGGGCATGGCCCAAGCAGCAATTACTTGTACTTGATCATTCATCTTTGAAGAGAGCAGTCAGAAGAACACAAGCCATGTTTTGAATTTAGATTTAATCAGTCACTTCAGCAGCCAATTTTATTTTTCAATTTGAACTCAGCAAATTTAAATTTTTAATAATAAACAAATTTAACAATAAACAAAAACAATTTTGCAACCTCTATATATAATGTGGATGGAGTTTAAACTCTGGAACTGCCCTAACATCAGAACCGACCCGAAAATGGATCTTACCATTTCATTATCTGGAAATGGAGAACAACTAAGTAGCGAAAAAAGGAAGACCTTGCAGAAGGGGCTTGTGTCTAGTGCTTGCCAAACACGGCTGATCCCTTACAGTGTTTCACACAGCACTAAATCTCATAGGCACATGTAACTTTTAACAAATGAAAAAGTATGCCCCCATTAAAAACAGTTTCCTTAATTATTTCTCTTCTGCCTAACTTTTGCAGCATCTTTTCTTACCAAAAAAAAAAAAAAGGTAACGCCAGAAGTGGCAGCTTTAAAAAGAAACAGTTGGAATTTGTGAATGATTTGATATTGCCTTCAGTCTGCTTAGTCTGAATAGAGCCGCATTAGAAAAACCACACTTGTTAAACAGCTAAAAAGGAAAGAGCTTTATAAGGAGATCTGTTTGCTTCATATTAAAGGCCAATCTGTGAATGAGTGGATTCAGGTCTCTCTCGATAGCCAGCATGCTGTTTGATAGCCAGCATGCTGTTTCACCAGGGCAACTGCCATCCCACCGATGCTGAGTGCAGCACAGCTTCTCCTGAGTTGGAAGAAATAACAGCCTAGAAGGCATTTCTTTGTTCAGTGTCTCATTGGTTTCCCCTCACAGAAACAGGGACTAGGATTGCTTTATGAGAGTAAAGAAAATAAAACCCCTTTTTACACAGCAGCAGACACATTCTTGGCTAGAAAGTTTGAAGGGCTATTTTTTTTGCTTTCCTAAGGCTGAAAACTTTGTCCCTTCCTTCACCTTATAAAACAAAGAAAACAATCTGCCAAAGTTCCATTGCTCCAATATCCCTTCCTATCAGTAATTGGATTAGTCAAGAGATTTATCTCAAATTGACCATTTAGAAGATAAGGGATAATATTTTGTAGTATTTGAGACTGCTTAAGACACAAGTATTTTTGAGCCTGGAATAACCTAGTCAGCTCAAGGAGTTGTAATACAACTCTGGTCTTAAGTCATATGGATGACCCTGAAATGACTGTTTTCCTCACTGTAGTAGCGGAACTGTAAGCTTAAAACATAAACTAAATATAAGATAGTACTTCCTAAGTACTAAGATGAGACTTTGGGCAACCTGGTGTAGTGGAGGGTTTCCCTGCCCATGGCAGGTGGGTTGGAACTAGATGATCTTTGAGGTCCCTTCCAACCCTAACCATAAAAAAAAAAAAAAAAAAAAAGTATGTTGACTTACGCTCCCTCTGATGGCTTTTTTGAAATGACAATATTCCTTTAAAACTTTGGCTTAATTGAGAGAGTCCAATGATAGCTCATATAGCCACGTAACCATGCAAAAGGTGGTGTGCAGGATTATAAGCCACCTGAATAATGAAAAACTATGAAATAGTATTAAGAGACTATTACTGGTGTGTCCTATGCAATAAAGTGAAACAAAAAAAGAAGGCTAAGCACATCTGAGCAGTTTACAAGCACTGTAAAAAGATGACTCAATCAATCTGCCAGATGGTTAATCTTTGACATGAAAGATTGCTTCCTCATTCAAACTTTAAGGTATGCTTATATGAGTTAATAAGAAAGGCCACAACAAATAAGAATGAAGTTTTGTGATTTTGATGGTAAGGAAAAAGAAGTCTAGTCAAGGTAGCTTGTTTCTGAACCTACTACAAAAAATAGTTCAGTTTATGCCAGTTCATTTCTGTTTTTTAGAAACAGTCAGCACTGCTCAGCGTGATGCAAATGTGTTTACAATCAAGTTCTCATTACAATTTATATCATTTTTAGCTGCAACATTTTAACTTGAGTATTTACAGTTATTATCTTCCATTTATCCACCTACCTAGAAATGAACGAATCACACTTAAAGAAAAACATACTTTTAAAAAAATTCTTAGTCACATTGTTTTCAGTCACCATAACTGTTTGACAGTCCATTTTTGCACTACAGTATGAAAGCACAATGTGAAATTAGTGAAAACAATTTTTTTTTCCATTCTGGAAGAATCTAGTTACCCTGTTACTGGAGTAAATTTGTCAAATCTGAAGTAATTCAGCATACCATAAGGGAGGCTACATTTTCCAAATTCAGCATGGAAGTTTAACTCTCCCCTCTGCCCCTGATATTATCTGAAAGATTAACTATCATAGTTCAAAAGGGTTCTGACACTTTCACAGCAGGAAAACAAATCAACTGTTATTTCCACTGACCCAAGACATTTTTTCAGTTTTTAACTCTGAAACCTGTTTTATTTTGTCAGAAGCTGTCATGAAGCTATTCAAATCTTCACTGAGAAACAATTTGCCTTTACTTGGAAACCCACACCCAAACAATTACAAGATATAGATGAAAAAAATTAAAGGCTTGCTCTAACAGCAAAGGTGGGGGGGTGGGGGGGGAGGGGGAAGGCAGATTTGGAACCATAACTGCTTCAATTTCTAGTTTGCGTAAATATCTTAGACATCATTTAATCCACTTCCCCCTAAAGAGCCTAATTTTAGCATAAATTCTATAAATACAAAGTGAAACCAAGGACATATCTATCACAGAAATAGATACCCACTCTCTTGTATCAGAAACTCACTGTGATTCAAAAACACAACCAATCCAGCCTGAGACATCCAAAGCCACTAAATACTATCTTCAAAGGTAATAAACACATTCTCATAAATACTGTAGACACTGATGCAGAAAGTGATTGAGATAAAGGAATCTACCATACAAACAATAAAAATCTTGCTTACCTTTGTCTGATGTTACTGTGCAAGGGTTGGTCATTCTGCAAACGGATTGGTGAGGCTGCCCGCTTTGGTGAAGAAAGGGACTCTCTGGGGGTTTGTTTTGGTGATATTGGCACTTCGTTACAGGAGGAAGATTCTCGTCCAGAAAGTGAAAGGGAGAGAGAACTATCCAAGGTTGCTGAAGGGTCTGAAGCCTGTCTAATGGCACTCTCATCATCCACTTTTCTATCACTTTTTTCATTTGAGAGGTCTTCTTTATCTGGAACACCATCTTTTTCATGGGCGGAGTACTCTTTGGATTCAGAAATCACACTCTTTGACTCCTTCATCTCAGTCCTGGACAAATACAGGGAGCCACAGTCCTTGTTTTCATCATCTTGCCTTTCACTTTTCACTCCCTTTCTTTCCATGCTGTCAGGATCTTTCCTTGCTCGTGTATATCTGGATGAGTAGTCAGAATCCAAATCAGAATCAAGAGATAATCCATATTTTTCTGCCAGCTGGCGCCGCCTCTCTGCCTTGTACCTAGCTATTCTTTCTGCTTTTGACTCTAGTTCCTGGACATCCATGTTTCCTGTACTATACAAGGGCTCTGTATTACCTCCTGTGATTTCTGCTCGGTATCTGGATGATCTGGCTTGTTTTTCTACAGAAGAATCTGAAGTTTCCTCCTCTTCATTTGATCTTCCTGTCAAAAGTGCAACATATATGAGCAAGTCCATCCCACAACTTCGAATATCCTACCCACCATTCACATCGAGTGAACTAAAAGCTTCTCATTTTCTTAGAAATCAAAGTGTACTAGTGACTGCACAGACACATCACATGTTTGCACTTATGTTTCCAAAAGCCCATATAAATGATTAAGAAATGCGTATTAGTTAGAATTCTGTAAGAGTCTCATATCAAATTATTGTCGTTTTAAAACAATATGGACGATCAATCTTGTTCAAGTAAGACAACTGGAGAATTAAAAGGCAAGTAAAAAAAAAAACCCTGACCACAGCTCTTCTATAAAACTCTTCTCCATGTACGGCACAAATGATAGGGTAGTAAACAGGAAGTAATTCAGCAATGCAAGATTGACTGATACATACTACTTACCTAAGTGGGGACTGTATGGGTCAGTTGCACGCATGTATCTTGGTGTATCTTCCTCTAGTAAACGGTGTGTGACTGATCCTGGACAGTTTTGTAGAAGCATAGGTTGGGTGTCATTTTCAATTCCCTCTAAGCGTCTAGCTATTCTTTCTTTTCTGAAAAAGATATGAGAAATGTGAAATCTGACATCTTTGAAGATCTGAGGGGAGAGTTGCTAAGAGAGGAGGTAACAAAACAAGCTGTGTGTTTTGTTATACAGGCCAAAGACTTTTTTTTTTTTTTACCTTTTCATTTCCAAAAAATCTTGGTTGTTTGGTTCAAACAGTTTTCTTAATTCTGAAACTGAGACAACAAAAGATTATACAGTTTATAAGCTACTAAGTTTCAGAAACTCACAGAAACTTGCTAAAATGATTTAGAATAAGAAGGAACAGACAAGTTAAGAGGTTTGAAATGGCTTTTGTTGGGGAACAAACATTTTCCTTTTGTTTTCCTTTTATTAAGCTTGTGTTGTCAAAAGTGTATTAGGCACATAGGTGTAAACACCAAGGAGTCCTCCCCTCCAGGTACTTCCAGGCTAAGCTAGAATCTGCTATGCATCCTAGCAGTTTTCAAGATCTGGTATAAACTGGGCAAGTGGTATTCTGATTAGCCGAGGTCAAGCTTACACGCTGTAGTAACCACTTTCAGAACCAGATTGTATGGAATTAGTGCTCACTCTGTCTATGCAAAGCTTGGGGACATTGTTTAAAGAGAAACAGTGTCCCTTATACCTTACTTTCCTTCATTCCCTTATACTGAGCAAATCCCAAGAATCCCAGTGACTCATGGTTGGAGTGAAAATTATCATGTACCTTCATGATACTCCTGCATGGTTAATCACACTCTACTTTGCTTATTTTCCCTTGTAGTTTTAATTGGATATCCTTTCCTTCTCTCCCCCTAAACTGTTTGGTGGGTGTTATGTGCTAGTAGACAGCTGTCACAGTTCACAAAATAGTGAACCAACAGGAGGCATGACAGATGAAGTAATTCCTATATATAAAAAACATATGTGCACAGTTATCAGTAATGTTTGCAAACCACGCTGGAGCAGTGAGTGCTACATAAACAAGTGTGGTGTGACTTCTAATCACCAAGAAGAGAAACCACCGAGGCTGTCAAAGGATGCAGTGAACTGAGGGTGCAGGGGTGCCTAACAAACCCTTACTCAGATACCCCCCCCATATCATTGTCTTGGCAAAGATGTGGTGCTAAAAGCAGTGTGTGCCTATTTTGATGCAACACACCTCTGGGGTTCTGATCCTGTTGACCCGGGGATCAAAAGTTAAAGGAAGTTAAAGTCTACAGCCTGCTAAATAAGTCAAATCAGCCCTACATTGCCATCAGAAATGCCTGATGAGTCAGAAGTGTCTAGTAGACACTGTTCCACACCACCTCAGAAGCAAATCTATCCGCTTTTTTTTCCCTACCAAACTTCATCGCTCTAGATACTTAGAAGATAAACACTACTGAAACACCACCCTTTTAAAGGTCAGATGCACCTTTTCTCCATTTCCTCTACTGCAAGAATGTACATGCACAGCTAAATCAGGGTTTCAGCTTAGTTGACATGACTACAGTAAGCTTCCTGGATATAACACCAGTGCTCACACCTCATAGATACAAATATATACTATTGTCATGAGCTGTCATATCAAGCTTACGTGCTGAAAAGTCACTAGGACTCCAGGTAAAATGTCTTGGATAAAAAAAAGTATTCTGATCATGACTAGTCAGAGAAGCAAATGAATGAGGTATGAATATAGTGTCTGAGGCTACAGATGAGTGCCTACCAAGCATGTGCGATTAACAGGGGAAAGAAACGAACTGGGCCACTCTCCAAAACAACTCCTTTAGTCTACATTTTTACAGAAAGCAGACTCAAGCTATCTGCTTCAATTTCTCAAGCCAGGTTAGCTCAGATTGTAATTACACCATGCATAAAATCTAATAACTACACATTTGATGCAACTAGCAATGCAAAGTAGCTAAGCATGCAGCTACTTAACAGTGCTAACCCAAGTGACATCTCTTCCATGCCTAGCTTCAGCATCTGCAGCAAAGCAGATTGAAGCCTACACTGTTGACCAAGTTGACAGTGCAAGATAGCCACCAAAAGTCAGCAGACTCCAGGCACAGATCTCTAGAGATGAATGGGAACTGGACTTGGGTAATGCAAAATTTGCATCCTGAACTAACACCAAAGCAAAGATGAGCCCTTATGTTGTGTTTTCATAGACTTTTCTCTCAATGCATGAGCAGTTCCCGCTGCTGCCCTACCTACTCAAGCTGTGCTAGCAGTGGAACTGTACTAATAGAGAACTTATCCATATGAAACCAGCCTTCATCTCACACTCACAGCAAAGGAAATGATTTCTCATAAATACTTTGGTCTCACCTCTGCCAAATCTACTTCTGTTTAAGTTTGTTCCTCTGGCTACTAGAGTTTTTCTGTTCCATCTGTTGGCTATACATACATAAAATGGTCAAAATAAAATGCATAACTGTTCTGCCACTTCAGACAGGTCAAAGGCCTCCACAACTCACAGTTAATAAAACTACATTCCATTCAAATCCTGATCATTTTTCTTCCCTAGTCACCAATTTATACAGTCCCTAAAACCATCACCAGAGAACAGGTACACAGCTTTAGTAAATCTCCAAAGCATAGCTTCACATACTGAAGTCATACAGGGTTTTTTTTCCCCCAAAAAAGGAAACTTGACTATAAGACGTCTGCTGATAAGAAATGTGGAACATCCAAAGAACTCCCAGCAGCAGTAGCTCAACACCCTCTTGCTGAAGTTCCACAGATTCTACTACCGCTTTGCAGTCCTAAAAAGAGCAGTGGCCTTACGAAGCATCTCTCCAACACCTCACACAAGAGGGGACAAAAATAGCATGGGACTACTCTATGCTGCCTTACACTTTTTCCACACTTGAGATGCCAGACGGTAATTTCAGCCAGGATGGCCAACACCTGCAGAGCTTTTTTCTGAAAACGGTTTCAGCAATATTCTTCATCTGGGGAGGCAGGAGAAAGAAGCACCAAAAAAAAAGGCAAAAAATGAAGATAAAATGCAGGAAGTCTTCGACTCTAGTGATTTCTTTTCGCTGAACAAAATATTTGACTTCGAAACATCAAAGTCAGTTGAAGAAATTTCGCTCTTAAGGGCACTGCTTGGTCATTGTAAGCTTAGTTGACTGGGTTTCTCTTTTTTAGTTTGCAGATTTAAATATGTTGGTGTCAATTTCCCATCTGTTCATGGGATGTTTTTCCACATGACCATCAGAAACTAAACATTTCAAAGACACCCATGACAACATTAAAGAATAACAACACTTCTACCTAGAAATTACACAAAAAATCTGATTCAGCACACAAGAAAGGACTAAGAAGCTTAAAATAATTAATTTCACAGTAAAAGCTCCTTATCTAAGTTACTTCATGCCAACACACTTTGTAAGCATTGTTGGTCAGTATAGTTAAGGGCAACAGGAAGAACAGGCACAATTCAGGAACAGCCCTGAACTTCAGCATTTTTTCAGGACGTTGAGCACGATGCTTATGATAGGATATCTTCTATGGTAGGCTGTCAAGAGGCATCTTAATTTTAGTAACTATAGAGCTCCTGAGCAGACTTTACCTTTTAACAACAGTATTTAGCAAAAGCAGTATTGTTCCATGTCTCATCCCAGAATAAAAAAATGAAAGTACATTTGGAGTGTACCTTATAAAACTCCTTAAATTTAAGTGTTTAAAAAAACTCCTTAAATTTAAGTGCGAGATTTCTTATAGAATTCAAAAATCTTTCAGAAACATTTGTTACAGAATATAAATATGCTTTTGCTGAACGCCTTCTTTGATAACAGCACAGGTGATACATGTTGTTAAAGTTGCAGGCATGTGACAGTTTTATTTTTAAAATACAGAAGTTGTAAAAACTAATGAAGCCTTCCAAAGGTCCCTAGTAGAAAGCAATATATTTGTGAAGCCAGAATAGACATGGATCTCAAGTTTACCTGCCAGAGGCTTGACTTCTCAGAGATGGCAAATAATCATTGTAACGCAGGTATATACATCTTCATTTTGAGGATGATTTAACACAATAGCGAAGCCTACCAGTCTTATTCCTACCTCCTCCTCTCCTCACCCAGAAAGATGATGGTCTACAAAGCAGGTTGGAGAAGCATTTATCTTCTGCTTATGCTAGCAGAAGCATACTAACATGTTCAATGCTTAACTGCAGGCAGCAATGTGTGAGGCTTCAGCTAGGCTCTTTGAACCTCAGTTCAGTCTGTATCAGTTGAAAATTAAATACCTTCCTCTGATTTTCCAACATGTGCAAATCTGGATCAAAGTTGGGCCCTAGATCGGACAAATAACCTGGATTTTCAGAAAGCATTTGGCCTCAAGTAGCCCCCTCATAATGTAACCATCGGCTCCCACTGTTGACTTTTTCTTAAGTCTGGTACACACTAAATCTGATGCCTTTATTACAAGAATAACTTCTTAGGAAATAGAGACATCTTAGAATAGAAATTAGTTCACTGAGAAGCAACTTTCAGAGAAGGTTTCTCAAGTGAAAGCTCTCACAGTTAACTTGTTGGCCAGCGTGACTGGAAGGCTAAGTATATGGAATAATGAGGGACTCTGCAACAAATGACACTAAAAGAGCAAGCCGGTTTCTTTATGTTGGGATTAGTGCATCTAGCCTTGTAGTTTGTCTGAAAAGGGTAAAAATACCATCAGAACACACACAGTTTTAATCAAAGTTCTGAGACTCACAAGATACCTGAGTGAAGGGAACATCTTTATGCCAGTTACACATAGTTTTTCAGTTGAATGTCACCCTTTACTGGTCAAGAACTATTTCCAGGCAGATTCTGATTTCCTCTAAATAATTCAAGAGAATTAACTCTCACCTCTACCTCAACAGTGTCAAAAGATACAGACGGAATTGATGTTTTCTTCATAAGTTATCCAGACTAAGACAGAAGTTTAAAAAAAATGAGATCTCCAAAATGAGATCCTCAAACCCGTATGTAGTGCAGGTCCTTTACCATGCAAGACTAAAATTCAGTGTGTAGTCAATTGGTTATGCAAGCACAGAGATTCTATCAACCACCAAAGGGTACTGGAAAGAGCTGTGACTAATGCCAAGTTAATACCTTTGAATTCAGTATTAATATAGCTGTACAGAGAAACCTCTCTGCAGTTTTGAATTTCAACTACTTCTTAACCAACTGAAAACTATGTAAACAAAGCTGAACTTTATGAAGCAGGGATGTAACAGGGCCTTGTAGAAGAGCCTTATGGTTCATCCCCTATGCATTCTTCACAGGGAAAAGAAAACTCCTTTACAAAACATCTGTGCCTAAGTGATTTTAACTGTGCCTTGCATATGCATAGACTAAACTTCACATGCTGTTAGAGTACCACTTGTGTTCATAATATTTCTCCCTTACCTACCTTTTGGAAGTACTGCTAAGAGATTAGCATCAATATCCTTTGTGCTGTTTGCAAGTTCTTCTTTATCTTCAAATGAGAACTCCTTCTGAAAACTGAAAGCAACATCTGGTTAACAGAACCGTGAATGTTTCTGCTACAAATCAAATAAAGCCAAGATGTAACCAATTTACTGCAAAATAGTCTAACAGAGATACCAAAGAAAATATTTTCCATAAGAACAAAATAAGAAATAATCCCAAGACACTCACAAAGCCAAACCTAACATAATTTCAAACTTGTTTGGAACTGACTGTGACACATCTTTTCATTAATTTACTGACCAAAGACTGCCTTCAAAATGCTCTACTAGCAATTACATTTGAAATAATCTGTATTGAATGATTCCCCATAAATACTACAACATATTTCATCAAATGCAGTACTGTATGTATACTCCACCTAGAAGCCTTCTGCACAGCTGCCCTATTGCTGTTACTGCACTGATCTCTGATCTTACACGGCTTATAATACACTACTACGAGCAGCAGATCACTCAGTTTTACATCTTGTCTTTTCAAAGCAAAAAAAAGCCCATTTAGATGAGACAAAAATATTTCTTTAAATATGTTCATCAAATACACAAATTTTAACTGTAAAATGTAGGTATCATAATGGTCTAAAGTAGATACTAACTGTCTACAGAGTTTTTGGAGGAAGTGTTCCTCCTTGTGGGTAAATCAAGTGAGATTTTTCTCTTCAATTATTAAAAATAGAAAGAGAACTGCTGTATTCTGCAGTTATGACTTCTAAACTCTCCCAATCAGGCATAATAAAACTTATACCATAGTATTAAAACCTTTAGTAAACTTTTTAGACAAGGTGTAACAGACACAAATTCCCACAGTGATGCTAGGCTCTTTGTTTTGCCCTGGTAGTGATGTGCCATATGATTTTCTGTCATTCTGATAAGTCAAATTGCACAGCCTTACTGTTGAAAAATCCTTCCTTAGGACAGTTTTTAAATGGCTTTTTAAAGAATTGAATACCTTAAATCAAGGGTATTTGGCTAGAAAAGGAAAAAAATAGTAAAAAAAAAACCCACCACAATTCCTTACTTACTATTCCAAAATACTATTTCTCATTGAAAAGTTTTAACATATAATGACTAATAACATTTTACATGAACTCCAAGAAGTATTTGCTTCTTTATAATTTATAAATAACATTCCTTTGTATGAAAACATTGAGGAGAGAATAAAACTCTTGAAATGGCAATAAAGAAACTGGGCTGTGTCACATGCAGGCACCAAGCCACCTGCTGCAAATCATCTCCAACAACTGCACTTACAGAAATTATTCCAGGTACTGCCAAGAAAAGCAATGTTAGCCACTACAGAAAATCACAAATAGAAGACGAAGAGTTGCAATAAGCTGTCCATTACAGAAAACTGTGTATCCTTACAGGGCAAAACCACTTTAACGGAATTAAAATCCAAATAAAATAGTAACACAGCAGCTACAAACAAACAGGTGTGTGTGTCATCTGAGACTGGGCAGAGACTCAGAGAGTTAACTGCATGTTTCTATATGCCTAACCCCACATTGCAAACACTTGCAATTCTTATTAGCTTCAAGATATGTTATTTTCTTGCAGACACAGCTTCTGGAGAACCACTAGGGTGGAGAGACTCACAGTTACCATCTGAAAGCAGTTTCTGCTCCTTTTGGCTGAGGCTGAGTTTGAAAAATGTGAACGATACCGGTCTAAGGCTATAAAAGAAAACCAAAATTTATTTTGTCAAATCAATTTGATTATTTAAGACTTCCCTCAAAAGTGCTGAGTGATCCAGCTCATGACTTTTGAATACCTGGGCTTTATTTAGCAGCATCTCCAATTGCTTCCATAATGCTTGTGGCAGTGCAGCACCTTAAGTTTACATAAACATGGGACTCTGTACAGAAAAGCATTCACTCATACAGTAAAATCCTTCTTCAAATTAACCGTGCACTAACTTCCACAACTAGGCCTCAGTCCCACATGAATTTCCAAGAGTAAAATCATAGAATCATAGAACGGTTTAGGGTTGCAAGGGACCTCAACAATTGCCCCTTGTCCTATCACTACACGCCCTTGTAAAAAGTCCCTCTCCAGCTTTCCTGTAGGCCCCCTTTAGGTACTGGAAAGCTGCTATAAGATCACCCCAGAGCCTTCTCTTCTCCAGGCTGAACAGCCCCAACTCTCTCAGCCTGTCTTCATAGCAGAGGTGCTCCAGCCCTCGGATCATCTTTGTGACCCTCCTCTGGACCCGCTCCAGTACCTCCATGTCCTTCTTGTGTTGGGGACTCCAGAGCTGAACGCAGTATTCCAGGTGGGGTCTCACGAGAGCTGAGTAGAGGGGCAGAATCACCTTCCCTCGACCTGCTGGCCACACTTCTTTTGATACAGCCCAGGATACGATTGGCTTTCTGGGCTGCCAGTGCACATTGCCGGCTCATGTTGAGCTTCTCATCAACCAGCACTCCCATAAAATCATACCTAGTAGGACTGGCACTAGCCTGGCGTTCTAAAAAGAATAGTACTATTGGATTGCTTGTGAATCCTCAACACACTTAAATACTGTAAACTAGTTAGGTTCACTCCTGCCCCTTCCTCCCAATTCCAGGGAGTGCCAGGGACTCTGAAGCCAGAGACCCTCTAAACCCAGTCCAAATGTTTTTCACTAGGTTTCCATCAATTTGTTCTTGTGCCAGTGCTGTTGGTTACCTTACTTATGTTTCTTGACAGAAGTTTTCCACAGATTCCTCAAGACAGGGTCTCAGTTTTATTGATTATCTGTAAAAATACTCTCTACCTGTTCCAGTTTTACGTTGCCTTTTTTGTATACAGTGTTCAGAATTGGACAGTCTTGATTCCAGACCTGGGTCTTAGCAGTGTCTTACAAAAATAGGAATTTTAATAGAGAAAGCATTATTATACAACTAGCCAGATAACTGTTGGGATGTACCACACATTTGCCTTTTTACAACTACATCATTTTGGTTGCTCCACCCTGCATGAGAAACTAATATGTCAAGGCTTTGCTTTTATCAGTTGTAAGTGACAGAAAAACTTATCAGCCTCCAATGCACGACTGTGCACTTAATATTATCACTTTATATCCCTCTTCTATTACTCCTCAAGGTCATCTGGTTCTTCCTGTATGTGAGCTCCCTCCTCCTTTGCATTGAGGGTGGCTTCCAACCTTTGCTCACCAGTAGATTTCATTAAAATACTTTTAATAACCCCAGACTTCTTAAGCTTAACCCTTGCAGGGCTATGTGGCATCACAGGTTATCTGCTTTGTGAAGGTCCCTTCACAGTTTCCCTTATGCCCTCATTTTCCATTTCCCTCTGGACTGACTGTCAACTTCTGTTTATTTATTTTTAAATAATTAACTATTTTCATATACCGACTATTTTATCCACAATGGAGGAGTTTTTGCTCTCTCTCTTGCAAAGCTGCAGGTGCCATTGCTTGTTTTAAATATTTGCACATTAGAAACACAAAATGTTTTAAACCGATGTATCAATTACATTGCTTTAACTTGCACAGAGAATTCAGAGACAGCACAGTTCTGAAGATGATATAGTCAAGCCAAACAATTGGGTATTTATAGATATATACATAAAATTAGTTCTAAAAATGAAAGTAGGCATATTTAGGACATGTCACAGTATTCAACAAGAACATTCATTAGGAATCTAAATTGAGTTGGAACAATGTTAAAGCAAATCCAAATAGTAAAAAAAAAAAAAAAAAAAAAAGAGAAATAAAAAAGAGTCAGGACACTACTCATAGGGTTTTTAAAAAAATATGCTCCTAGGTAATTCCTCAACAAAAATTTCCTTTTTCCTCAAAGGGTTCTATCCAAATGGCTCCCTGCTTTATTAGTTTCCCTGCTAAAGCAGCAGTTGCAGCAACAATTTAGTTGCTTAAGCAAAATCACACAGTCAGACTTGGATTGCCAAGTGTATTGGACCTTCAAACTCATCCACGACCCTGTTCTACAAGTATCACAACCGCGTCTACTCACCCTTGCTTAATTTCTCAAGTTATGCTATAAATCTAGGTGCAGATTCCGAGCAGCAGGACTAGGAGTATCTACAATTCACAGCTAGGCTATGCACATTCATTATTAAAATAATTTAAGGCATACTTCAGCTTCTCTATATGAAAAAAAAAACCCAAACAATTCGGAAGTTTGCAAGAATTCTTTCTTCTTGAAGTCCCTATTAAATCTGGATACTGAAAGCAGAACTTCTTCCTTTGCTTGCCTGAAATATAGCCTGTGATTATGGTTCACGGAATGCAATCAACAGCATGAGGTCCCAACGAGTTTGTTTCACACAGAATTTGTGTGTGGTTTGGCCTCAGGCTCCCAAGAAAATCATTATAATCTTCAATGTTCAGGAATTCATATGATTCCTATTAAAACACAGACAACAATATTTGACAACCTCAATAGTTTTTCTTTAAAAACCATGTATAACGTGGCATTTGTAGATTATTTGACAGTCTCAGTAGTTATACTGTTCTTATAGCTTTCAAAGTAAGTGTGGGCTGCTTCTATACATCAGGGATTCCAGGCTGAAAATTTCATCTGCTGCTGCAGCAGCAGCATACAATTTCTAAATAGCTGTCCCACTAACCTAGTTACATTCCTGAAAGCTAGCAAAAGTTTGATCCAAATGCCACTGGTAACACCGCCTTGCCATCCGGATTAAAGCTATAGGATATACTGAGATTTTCTGATTGAAACACGAGTGAAAATCCACTTGTATAGCTGCCAGCTAGGTGCTTGGCGTTCATTTTTCTTCTCTTTCTCTACTTCTAAGAGAATTTCCTTCCCTGGACTCATATGTAAAAGGTCCATTGTACATTAATATTCTTCTCTACTGCTCTCATTTCTACTTTCCCCTACTTGCCTTCCATAACACAATGCACTGTTACACCTATGCATTGTGTTAACACCTGTTGCCTCCATCACTCTACAGTACCTAAGAAACAACATGACAGGGAATCAGATGCGCTCCAGAAAGTGTGCATTGACTGAAAAGATGCTTGCAAATGTAAGCCTGAGTGCCTGAGGCTGGTGGATTCCTGTGCAGCTGAGCCAACAGAACAGCTGGTTGCTCAAGCAAGAGTCAGTTCCCAACTCCCTGACCTCCTCTACGTGCCATTATGAATGAGTCCAGCAAGCACAAAGGTGGACATCAAAAAGCAGTGAGGATAAGAAGAGAGAGGGAATGTGACCTATCACCTTGCTTAACTGTAAACTGTATCCCCTTAACTCAGTGTTGTGGAGCCGTGCCCGAAGATTGCTGCACAAGGCAGCACGGCCCTGCAAGGAAGCAGCAACGTCACCTCTCTATTCATCTCTGCAGTGTCCCCCTCCCATGTGCTGACAAAGCTTTCTGCACGGCTGTATAATTAATTCACCCACTTCAGCCACCTGCTTTTTCAGACATCAGTTTTCCAAGCCAGTTCACTAAACATCTGTACTGCCTCCGTGCCATGCAAGGAAAAACGGGCATTGCTGTGGCAGGAGGCTCAGTGCAGAGTGGGACTCTTCCCTTAGCAATGCCAGCTATACATTTTCACATTACTTAAGAGGCAGTTGGTATTTTCAATACCTGTTCAGAGCATCTGCTTTATGCTAAAGCTTGGTCCTGCGAGAGGACCAGTAGTCATTTTCCCTGACAAAAGAATAAACGTAGATTCAAGCACTGACTGCAAGTTACAATCGTGCAACCAGTCATCTTCACTGGGCAAGAACTTGACCTTACCTTAACGCTCTCTTCCTTTGGAGCAATCGCGAAGGTTTAAATCTGACTGAGTTTTCTTTGTCAAAATCTGCGAAATGAAAAAAAAATAACACATCATAGTGAAGATGCTTTAATAATAGGGAATTTTTAGGAAATTAGATTATAGTTTTCAATCACAGTCCTTTTCCACTTGAAAAGACCAGACAAAGGCCTTCCCTATAGTCAATGAGCATAAGCTGGCATGTCCAAGATGGTCATAAACCAAATCCTTGCAAAAACGAGTACAGACAGTAAACATATCCAAAGCACAACATTTTATGGAACTGCCATGTTCTAATCCCAGTATTCATGGTGTAGCACTGTAGCCTGGGGCTAGACTTTAAACTCCTTGACTCAGTTTTCCAACTTATAAAACATATGGTGGACGTGTTTATGAAGCACTCTGCAAATGAGAAATGCAGCAAGCAGCAAGAGCCTTTTTGGCTGCAACCTAGCAGTATTATAAAAACTGCATATTCACTGCACAAGTCGGAGATGCCCAGCTGAGGATCTGCTGCAACAACAGTATTTACCATCCATGACAGAAGCACTTCTGAAGGTTGTCTACTGTTTGGAAGCTCTCATTTTTTTCTGAGCAGCCTTAGAACATGCTCACTTTCAGAGAGGAACACGTGTTCACACCGAGCGCAGATGCAGTCTTATATTCAAAAAGTATGTACTACAAAGCCACTAGTTCCCAAACCTTTGTGAACCATAACAAATAATGGGCAATCTCCCCTCTCTCCCCTCCTAGGTTTAACTTTCTCATTTCTGCAGGCAAAAGCACCATCAGAGGGTCTAAACAATGACCAATGGCAAGGAGGATCAGTGCTCCAAGTACCAGCTCCCTCCACTCAGCAACGGGGATGCTCTTAAGAGACCTTAGAGAACTGCTAGCCAGGAAGCAAAGAAGCACCTGGAGTGTGACAGCTGTTGAAAAACACATCAAGCTACTAATAATTTACTCCCAATGGCAAAATTGTCTTCCGTCTTCATCTGTATTAAGTCAACTACCCCAAGACCCTAAATTAATAAACAATGGGTCACTGACGCAGTGTTTGTTTTATTTTTCGAAGACAGACCTGAATATTACACAACCTGGACCTCAGAATGATTCAAAAGCAGCAACTTCCCTTTTACTCAACCTCAGAACTGAGATTTAACTATTTCAAAGAGCAGCTAACTGGCAAAAAAAAATATTTTTTGTTTACACAAAATATTTTAAAATTTTATTTTTGCAGAAAGGGTTTAATGAAACTTATTATAGCTGACAACATGAGTCTCAATTTAGAGAATGTATCTTTTGTCTGTGCTTCTCAAAACTGTTCACCCTCCTGCACTCTTCCACTTCTGTCTGCCAGCCCTCCAGGTAAACAAATTTTAAAAAACCAAACCAAAACAAAAACAAAAGACGAAGAAAAAGCTTGATAAAGAGGCTTAAAACGTGCAATAAGGCATTTTTGAGGCATCTGCAACAAGTCACTGCAGATTTCAAGTAGCTTTGCTAACAGCACTCTTCCACTTTAAAAGGCAACTTTTTCCTGTTTTTGTTAACATTCATTTTCTCCTTCCAAGTAAAAGGAGAATAAAGCACAGAGATTACACAGAAACATCTTGTTAGATTAAAACAGTACTATAAGAAAAACAGTATGAATGGTATATAAATCATTATATTTTACACTACAACACTAAAACGAATGCTCCATGCCATAAGTATCCTCTAAAAAGGCCAGATTTACATTACTATGAGAGGAGTATGCAATAACTTAAAAAGCCCAGCTCAGTATCAGCTTAGTTAATCAGAACCAGGCATATCTTAAATTTATAGCCGTTCTAACAGGATACAACCCATCCTATAGTTTTTGGCATTAAAAACAGCTGTCCACCATGAAAACCACAAGTAGACCACAGAGAAATTCTCCCTATCCTAGCCAAAACTGGAGAGGGGATATGAGAAGGGAAGAAAGTAGCTTTCATTGCTTCCCTGGGAGAAGGGAGGCTAAGAGGGGGCACATAAGCCGGTCTGATTCTTGCTACCCATTAAGTACATTCAGCAACATTCATACATACCACCATCTATAATGCCTCAAAAACATCTTAAAACCTTGCTGTATTTCACAGGGGCAAGCTCTTCTTTCTCCTCCCTCCCAAACATAAAAAACCCAGCCAGACAATTATATTCTGGTTCACAGTTTTGATATTGCATGTGTTTCCTCCTGTTCAAATTAAACCCCATGTGGAAGGATTAAAGCCCAATAAAACAAACTTACTACAATATGGAAGTCTTAAAATTAAATACAAACACAGAAGAAAAAGTAAAACGACTCTGCTTCAAAAGAAAATAAATATGCTCACAAGAGAAACATCAGTTTAATATAGTCTTAATTCAATGGTTAATTTAAAGAAAAAAAACACCCTCACAGGATCTGATACACAAAAGGAAAATCTTTGCAACAGTATTTTGTTCCTTCTTTCACTGAAAAATTCTGAACATGCTCATAGCCATATTAAAACAATTGTAAATATTTGTACTTAATATTAAGAGTATATTTAATGAAGTGTAAATCAAACTTGCTCACAAGTTTAACCATTTGTTCAGTCTACTCCCCCTCCCTCTTAGGCACAAACTAACAGATAAAACCACTATCCATAGTTTAACATATAGGAAACGAAAAATGTTGCATTTAAAAAAAGAAAAAAGTAGATGCAGCCTTCCAGTGTTACTTAGTATATTTAAAGGCCCTAAGTCGGTGGCAAGCTAAGCTAATTAAAAGATCCATCTAATCGGATCTTTCAAAAGTGTCCTTTAGGAAATAATGAAATAGCCGAGGTGACTAACTGCATACTGATTGCTAAAGTAGCTAATGTAGCTGCAGAAGAGCCAGTCAAATAATATTTACACACGCATGCATATATACGAGAGAGAGTAAACACACACAAACGAACTGCATTTTCTTCTATCGACTTGGAACTCTTACCTTGCTCCTCAGAGTATTTAACATTTCCCAAATAGCTGGAGATCCAAGGATTTCTGAACATGGTTGCACAAACAAAGGATTCGGCAAAGAGAAACTACAATAGCAGCTAATTCTCAACCAGCCACAGCCCTAGGCCTGTCTTAGCAATATCGTGTAGAGATTTTTCATAGCACAGGACTGGAGCTGTCAGGCTATCGCGTCCCAGGGAGTACAGTAAATGCACAGCAATAGGCTGCAAGCTGGAGCAGCTCAAGCCAGTAATCAGATTACAAACAGAAATTAGGCACATGAATGCTAAAACAGATTGGGCAATAGTGATTGGGAGATTTATAATATTACCACTTCAAAGATCCAGCCAAATCACACATTATATTCCTGCAAAATGAATGCAGAACCCCTAAATCCTCATAGTTTAAAAAAAAATAAAAAAATAAAGAGAGAGAGAGAGAGAAACCTCCAAGAGGAGGAATAATTCCTTCATCCCTCTAATCAGGACAAACTGCAATGCTTGCTTAAGAAAAACAGCATCCAGGCTGCCAAAAAAAAAATGGACTCAGTTAATCATATCATTATGCTAAACGTTTTGCCTAGCTATTAGTTGGAATGCTTAAAACAGACAAGATTTATGGATAACATATGAACAAATTTACTAGTGGGGGTGGGGATTTAAAAACAGACACCACAGCTCCAAATATTTTAATATGAGACAGAAGGTGTAAAATTGTGAAAAAGTACTGTCTAGCTACCATGTTTTTTATTAAACAGATTTTAGATTGAAGAGTTGGAAGCCTTTATAGTACTTTTTAAAAGTCTGGAAGTATTTGTTCAAAACGGTGCAATAACCCTGGCTCATTCTTCCACACTGACCTACCTGATCATTTAACTCACACACAAGCATTAAGTATGTGATTGAAACAGGTCCATGCACTTAACCCCATCCACCCAAAGGCAGTAACTGCCTACTAGCTTCCCTCCAACACACTTCTTCCCTTCAAAAATATTTCAACTAGTATCTGTAGAAAACTCACCACAAGGCTAGGGTTGTCAGGACCATGAAAAGGTAGCCTAGAAACACAGGACTGAAGTTCTTGGCTTTTCTTACCTGTTTTTATGGTAACTGATATGACAGGACCCTGATCCATGCTGGGAACCTCTATGTACAGGCAAAATACAAGCAACAGTGCTGTGAAAGAGACTGCTTAATCACAAGCAAAAAAATATAACCTATCAAAAACCTATTAATTTCTGTTGGCTCACCAGGAAGTTGTATTTAACCTGTCTAGGTCACCAAAACACTGCTTTTCATGCTAACAAGTTCTTGCAATGGATAGAAGAACATACACTCTATCTCGTCTAACACCTCTGCAATTTGTATTCATTTATTTATTTTAAAACATGAATAACGTTGGAGTCACCTTAGCCAAAACACCCTTTATCAGCTGATCTTTCAACAGTCCAGAGCTCCCTGGAACGAGAGTCACCAACACATGGAACATGGCTTTGAAGTCTCTGACTCACCAAGTAATATCCTCAGTTCAGAAATATTTGCTAGTACGTACAACATTCTTCCTTGCCTGTAACCTTACTGGCTTTTGCATTTAATTCTAACCACTTCACAGCACTACCCATAAAACTCAAACCGAACACTGCTGTGCTCTCTTGACCAGCTGTGACGGTCTACGTGTGTTCAAGCCCAGTACAAACAAAAGCAGTAACAAAAAATGGAATCTGTTGACACTGGTCCAAACTTGCCATTAGCCTGAAAGTCTGCTTTATGGCCTAGACATAAGTGCAGGTGTGCTTAAAATACAAAAATGAGATAGTGCAGAAATAACAAAGAAGCGGCTAGTAACAGCTAATGGGGACGTTCTGACCAGTATCTGTGTGGGTATATCAATAAGAGAGACGCCCAGTTCTGAAAAGATCCCTTCTTTCCGAACTCTGCTTATGTGAAGGCTGCTTATCGGATCTTGTGAATCGAGGTATTATTACCTAGAGCATTTTTAAGCACCTGTAACTCACTCATCTGGTAGACGGTAAGGGAGCTGTTTCTCATAAAGTGCAGAT